ATAAAGCAGCAAAGGTAAGAAAAACAAAGAAAAACTTACCTGCTACACTTGTGCAACGTGTGCAAAGAATTCCCATGATGCCTCAGGTGCACTCATGGACATTCAAACATTAATGGAGAAATGTCATGCCAGGGTATAGACTCTCATTTATTTTTATTAGCACTGTATTTCCAGTTCGACTATTTTGACAGTAAATCTGAAATTCACTTTGAATGCACCTTATATTCTCACTTTTGTGAATAACCCTGTTTACAACCCCTATAACTTTGTGGTCGATTACTCAAACATTAAAGGGTTACTCCAACCACCATGACACTGCTGCTTTTTGAAGTGGTCATGGCGGTAGGAGTCTGGATGTGTAGAGTTTAAGCTTGAAACACTACACATCCACAGTTAGTGGCAATTGTGCCGGGGCCACAGGCTGCGTGATGTGAATTCTGTGCCTATTTTATGTCTGTTGTCAGCACGCACTGTTCGCTGATGACAGATGTTAGTTTCTTCTCACTTGCATGAAGCTCCGGTCTCCCCTCCCTCCTTAATTGCAGCCCTCCCTCCTCCCTATCCATTCCAATATTTAATGCCAAATAGGGCATTATTCTAATAACAGCAAAATGGGCTTTAGAAACCCTTTAATATTTGATCTAATTTCTTGTTGTGTATGTTCATTGTATTATTTCAGTAAGCAGATACCCTGAATTCAGATTACCAGTTTTAACCCCTGGTTTACTCTGGCTTTTGGCGCACATCTAAGTCTATCAAGGTTTATCAAGGTGACCTTACGGCTATCGGAGAAGTGCAAGGGATATTAAAGACACCTTCTAAATCTAAGCTCCCATTTTACATGAAGAAGTAATATTATTTACAGACACATACATGCGAATATTATTTAGGATGGGATCTGTAAGGAATGTACTGGCAAAGGTACATGAATACATTGTGTAGCCTAAATAATATGCAGTGTCAAGTGACAGAGATACAGAGTATGAACTAATGGAAAGCAGATCACAGTAGAAGTCTTGGGAATCAAACAAACAAGCAAAAATAATAAAAGAGCACTGTTATAATGATAATGCAGGCACTGAAGCAAGCATGGCGATCATGGGAATTGCTTACATAAAGAGGAAACCTATAAAATTAAAACAGGTTGTGAAATAAGAAGTAGAGCTTGTTACCTGAGGCCCTGTTGGTCTAAATATTTGAAATGTGGTTTGCTAAAACACAGTGGGGACAGAAACTAAGAAGGAACAAGCAAAACTAAGCTAACAACAAAAATGACCTCAGTCTCTACCACCGGGAATTAATTGGAATTACCGATGTTGAAGATGAGGATGTAGCTCAAATCCCCAAACCATGTTAGCAGAAGTGTAAAAGGTGTGATGGTGTACTCTGCGTTTGGCACAGATCAAGTTCAGGTGTGGCAGCCTTCTAGTCGCAACCACATAACCTGAGGGTGCACATGGGAATGAAAAAAACCAATGCAAACCTGGAGACATTGTAACAATAGGAGTTACGTGACTGTATAGAAAATCCATAGATAAGACCTTAAAATTACATTCAAGACACCATAACTACATACTCTAATTAAAGTGGTTATGGTGCCTGGAGTCTCCTGGCGCCATCCCATCTTTAGTGTTGGTACTGAATGAGGCACCCACAGCCTGAACCTCTTGACTGCTTGGGCAAATATGATTAGCAACAGTGACAGGCTGAAAGTGTCAGCTGATTGCTCTCAACCTTTCATGGCTGCCTACTGCTGGTATATGTTGGAATGGCTAATCAGAATTAACTCTGCATTACCTATATCTTCCAGTGGGGGGCAGAGTCACTGGTGACTAGCTTTACACTGAACAGTGGGATGATCCAGGGAACTCCAACTAGGAAGAAATTGTGGTGCCTAAATTGTCCCTCTAACTAGAACCCTGCATCAGTTTAATTCAAAAATATTTTTGAACTATGTCAGCAGACATAGAAAGTAAATGACATACAGTTATCCCTCTGATTGTCACCACTTGCAGAGTTAAAGGACCACTATAGTGCCAGGAAAACATGCTCGTTTTCCTGGCACTATAGTGCTCTGAGGGTGCCCCCACCCTCAGGGACCCCCTCCCGCTCAGCTCTGGGGAGAGGAAAGGGGTAAAAACTTACCTTTTTCCATCGCTGGGCGGGGAGCTCTCCTCCTCCGATCCTCCTCTTCTCCTCCCATGTGGCTAAATGCGCACGCGCGGCAAGAGCTGCGCGCGCATTCAGCCGGTCACATAGGAAAGCATTATCAATGCTTTCCTATAGACGCTTGCGTGCTCTCACTGTGATTTTCACAGTGAGAAGCACGCAAGCGCCTCTAGCGGCTGTCAATGAGACAGCCGCTAGAGGAATTGGGGGAAGGCTTAACCCATTCATAAACATAGCAGTTTCTCTGAAACTGCTATGTTTATAAAAGAATGGATTAAGCCTTGCTGGACCTGGCACCCAGACCACTTCATTAAGCTGAAGTGATCTGGGTGCCTAGAGTGGTCCTTTAACACACTGTTGTTGAGCTGGTAGTTTAT